AAAAAAAAAAAAAGAAAAAAAAAAGCAGAATATCCAAGAACTGTGGAATGATTACAAAAAAGGTATAAGATATGTACAATGGATATGTCAGAAGAAGGATAAAGAGAGAATGGAACATAAGAAATACTTGAAGTAATAATGACTGAGAAGTTCTCCCAGATTAATGCCAGGCACCAAACCACAGATCCAGGAAACTCAGAGAACACCAAGCAGAATAAAAGTCCAAAAATCTGTATTTAGGCATGCCATTTTCAAACTACAAAAAATCAAAGATTTTTTTTAAAATACTGAGAGAAGCCAGATTTTTATAGCTAAAGATAAGCATGTCTGTTTTAGGTGTTCACAGATACTGAAATGGTTTCAGTCACATGTCATTTTCTGAAAAGCTCAAAATACTTGAAAGGTGTGTGAAATGATTTGAAGGTCTGTACCCTCCAAAACTCATGTTGAAATTTAACGACCATTATATCAGTATTAAGAGGTGAAGCCTTTAAGAGGCTATTAGGCCATAAGGGCTCTGTCCTCAAGGGCATGATTAACTATCATTTGATGCCCTCTTGTCTCTGTGCCCTTCCACCTGTGAAGCCTTCCACCATGTGACGTCACAGCAAGAAGGCCCTCACTACATGCAGCCATCATAATGTTGAACTTCCAAGCCTCTAGAACTGTGAATCAATAAATTTCTGTTCTTCATTTATACACTGCTGATGGGAAGGTAAATTAGTGCAGCCACTGTGGAGAACAGTTTGGAGATTTCCCAAAGAACTAAGAGTTGAACTACCATTTGACCCAGCAATTCCATTACTGGGTATATACCCAAAGGAAAATAAGTCATTCTACCAAAAAGACACATGCACCTTATGTCTATCCCTGCACTGTTCACAATAGCAAAGACAGAGAATCAATCTAGGTGCCCAACATTGGCGGACTAAATAAAGAAAATGTGGTGTGTGTGTGTGTGTGTGTGTGTGTGTGTGTGTGTATATACCATTAAATACTCTGAAGCCATGAAAAAGAATAAAATCATGTCGTTGGGCCTTGCACAGTGGCTCACACCTGTAATTCCAGCACTTTGGGAGGCTGAGGCAAGTAGATCGCCTGAGGTCAGGAATTCAAGAACAGCCTGGCCAACATGGTGAAACCCCGTCTCTACTAAAAATACAAAAATTAGCCAGGGAAGATGGTGGGCATCCGTAATTCCAGCTGTTCAGGAGGCTGAGGCAAGAGAATCACTTGAGCCCAGCAGGCAGACAGAGGTTGTAGTGAGCCAAGATCGTGCCACTGCACCCCAGCCTGAGTGACAGAGAGAGACTCCAACTCAGGGGAAAAAGAAAAAATCATGTCTTTTGCAACAACATGGATGCAGCTGGAGGCCATTATCCTAAGCAAAGTAGTACAGAAACAGAAAATCAATTACAGTATGTTCTCATAAGTGGGAGCTAAAACTGGCTACAAAGTATATAAATACAGGAACAATAGACATTGGAGAACATAAGGAACGGAAAAGACAGAAAGGTGCAGGATTGAAAAACTACCTTTTGAGTACTATGCTCACTTCTTAGGTGACAGGTTCAATCATACTCCGAACCTCAGCATCACACAGGATGCCTTTGTAAAAAACCCGCACATGTACCCCCAGAATCTAAAATAAATGCTGAAAACAAATTAAATAAATTTGAAAAAATAAAAATAAATTTTTGTTTTTTTATAAATTACCCAGTGTCAGTTATTCTAACAGCACTAAACAGACTAAAATAAACACCATACATATAGAGGAACAAAGAATCACAGCCAACTTTTCAAAAACCATGTACAAGAGAGTGAAATGAAATAAAGTACTAAGAGAAAAAAAAAAAAAACTACTAATCTAGAATTCTGCACCCTGTGAAATTACCCTGCAAAAGTGAAGGAAAAATATGGACTTTTTCAGGAAAACAAAAATTGAAGAAATTTATTGGCAGCAGATCTGCCCCCACAAAATGTTAAAAGAAATTCTCGGGTCTTCCCGAGAGCCTGCGGGCGTCCACTCCCAGCGCGGGATTCTGGAGATAAACTGAGGGAAACCTGGAAACTGCGCCGAGCCCAAGGGGTACCTAGAAGGGAGACAAGGCCAGGCCTGCTGCCCAGTGTGAGCTCCGGGAAGAAGAAGGGCACGCCGAGAGGCCCGCCAGCTTCTGTTGACGCTCTTTCAATCAAAAGCCACGAGCTGCGTGGAGTTCCCCAGGACTCAGTTCTCAGCACTTCCTGGTCACTGGGTAGTCAGTCTGGACACGCAGGTTCAAGCCCCTCCACCAGCACGTAGTGCTGCAGACGAAAATGGGAAACAAAACTGAAGCAAATTGAAGAACGAGCATCTCAGTATGAGAGGAAACCATTGTCCTCAGTGTATAGGCCACGATTGTCCAAGCCAGAAGAACCACCCTCCATTTGGAAACTATTTCATCGACAAACTCAGGCTTTTAATTTTGTTAAAAGCTGTAAAGAGGATGTTCATGTATTTGCTTTGGAATGCAAAGTGGGAGATGGACAGCGTACTTACCTTGTGACAACCTGTGCTGAACTTTGGTTTTACTATAAATCCAGAAAAAATCTCTTACACTGCTATGAAGTTATTCCTGAAAATGCTGTGTGCAAGCTTTATTTTGATTTGGAATTTAACAAACCTGCCAATCCAGGAGCTGATGGGAAAAAGATGGTTGCATTACTCATTGAGTATGTGTGTAAAGCGCTTCAAGAATTATACGGTGTTAATTGCTCAGCTGAAGATGTTTTGAACTTGGATTCTAGCACTGATGAAAAATTCAGCCGGCATTTAATATTTCAGCTTCGTGATGTGGCATTTAAAGATAACATTCATGTTGGTAATTTTTTGAGAAAGATTTTGCAGCCTGCTTTTTACTTGCTTGGCAGTGAAGATGCTGATAGCGCTCGGAGACAAGAGGCCACGGATTTCCCCACTTTTCTGAAGCATCTACAAAACCAGGATTTTCTTTTAACAAAATGTTCGCAAAAAAGGCTGTAGAAGAAAGCTGGACATTGAATTCAAAGAAACTGGAGAGTCTAGGGTCAGCTGAGCAAGCCAGTCCTGGCCTTTCATTTCTAGTTGTGAAGAATAACATGGGAGAGAAGCATCTTTTCGTAGATCTAGGAGTTTATACAAGAAATAGAAACTTTCGGCTGTATAAATCATCAAAAATAGGAAAGTGTGTGGCTTTGGAGGTTGCTGAGGAAAACAGATTTTTTCCTATACAGTCGGAAAACGTTTCAGAAGAATATCAGTATTTTCTTTCTTCTTTGGTCAGCAATGTCAGGTTCTCAGATACTTTACGAATTCTTACATGTGACCCATCTCAGAATAAACAAAAATGAGTTGGATATTTTAACAGTATCAGCACTTCAGTAGAAACCATTGAAGGTTTTCAGTATTCACCCTATCCTGAAGTTGATCATTTTGTTCTTTCTTTGGTGAATAAAGATGGCATTAAAGGAGGAATTCGGCGTTGGAACTACTTTTTCCCAGAAGAATTATTGGTTTATGATATTTGTAAATATCGTTGGTGTGAAAACATCAGAAGACCCCATAAGAGTAATAATATCATGATTCTGGTTGATCTGAAAAACGAAGTTTGGTATCAAAAATGTCATGACCCCGTATGTAAAGCAGAAAACTTCAAATCTGACTGTTTCCCATTACCTGCTGAAGTATGTCTCCTGTTTCTTTTCAAAGAGGAAGAAGAGTTTACAACAGATGAAACTAGGAGCAGTGAAACCCAGAATCCTCATAAGCCATCACCTAGCAAGCTGTCAACAGGTGCATCTGCTGACACAGACTGGAATAATGGCATTGATGATGCTTATTTTTTAGAAGCTACTGAAGATGCTGAATTAGCTGAAGCGGCAGAGAACAGTCTTCTGAGTTACAATAGTGAAGTGGATGAAATTCCTGATGAACTAATTATAGAAGTATTACAAGAGTAGGTAATTCACTGTGGACACTTGTCACCAGACTATAATTTGCCTGATGTCTATCAGATTTGATAAATATATTGTTAAACCTGTTAACATAAATTAAGTTTTATCACTGTTTTCCAATTTTGGTGTACTTAAATTCAGTAAAAATCCCCTTATTAATCAAAAATTAGTCTATGTTCACATCAACTTAATTTTACAAGTTTATTACAACTCTTATATCTGGGGCTGATTAGACAAGGTGTCAGCATTTTAAAATTACTGAAGATATTAACCAGAAAAGATTATGGCCTCTAAAACTATTGATGCCATTTTAACATTGTTCACAACCATTTAATTGGAATAACGAATTTTAGATTCTGGTAAGTAGGCCTTAACTGCTTTGCAAAACTTTATTTAATAAAGTACAGCTTCAAAAGCTAACAGCATGAGACTAGTCTTCCTATAGGCATGTTTTAGTAGACTGCTCTTCTCATTTCTAGTCAAGGAGCTTCTCTAACTGATGGTTGATATTTTGCAGATGGCTTTCAGCTCCCAAAAGTGTTCTTGCTTTAAATAACAGAGCTGGAAGGCTGGATGAATCATACTGTTGAAAGAAAATAATTTATATAATTAGCAATATCAAAACTTATATAACCTTGTCCCTACATAGCTCAATCTTATGACCAATGCAAATTCTGATAGAGCTTTCCATTAACTAGTCCTCCTTTCATTTTTAACTAGGACCACTAAGAAAATTGGTTTTCATCCATTTCCTTAGAACATAATTGATCACAAAGTTGTTAGGAGCTGCTCTGCAAAGCATGAACTGATCTCATCCCAGATGATTCAAAGAACTGTGTCATCTCTATTACTGAAGATAGAAAATCATGCCTGGGACATGTCAAGACTTGATTTGGGCAAGTCTGCTTGTGCTGTGTGGGGTCTGCTCACAGAAAACTAAGATAGATTTTTTTTTTTTTTTTTTAAACTTTTATGGGTCTGGTGTTCTCATTCCATTAGTTCTTTCAGTTAAAGTAAAACCTATTATCTAGAGAGATTATTGGGAAAATCAATTAAATGTCTCAAAAGTTGCCAATCCGAATGTTCTTAATGATTAAAGTTAAAATTAGAATACAAACCCAAAATAAAATAGCACACACAATATCTAATTCACGATTTCAAAGTAATTAAAGTCAAACTTCCAGTTGCAAATTGTATCTAAGGGTGCATGATTAATTTCTCCTTACAGAATTTTATCATACTTTGATAGTTTGCTGTTTAATATCATGTTTTCAAGATGACAGCAGAGAAGCTGTCACACCATGACTACCATACACGATACTGGGATTTTATACAAATATTTGACAAGCTAATGTGTTCAAGCTCTCCCAGGCACCTGCTCCAGGGAGGGATAAAGTCAACAACTCACATTTGTCACTAAGTGTTTAGAGGTAAGACATATACCCAAATATCTACCATCATTAAGGCAAAAAGGAGAGTAACTACAAGAGAAGTGCAAAAAGGCACTCAGGTCACACCAAGATCAGGATGCTCATCCAGTGGTGTGATCCACACAAGGCAGAGACACTAAACCTCGCTTTTAACCGAAGTATTATGTTCAAGCTGAATCAATGATACACGTAACTTCCCCAAACTGAGTAACCAAACTCCAAATCAAACTTTGGACTAGTTAGGTAATTAAAAAAATACCTTTAAAAGTGTTCTATTTCTAGATCTCTAATATACAAATAACCTTTAGGCTCAGGAAAATTAACTTAGATAATTGTCAAAACCTTAACACTGAATTTAGAAGAATACAAATCTGATCATAAAATATATGTATACATTACATTTAATTATATCTACATATTTTATATAAATTCCTATTAGGGTATACAAATTTTTTTTTTCTAGAACTTAAAACATTTCTATTAATCTGAGGTGGATGGGATAACAGTAGCAAAGTTTGCAGTAAAAATCCAGAAGCAACTATAAAATGTATTAATAAATCTGTTTTCCTACTATATTCCTTTTTAATGTTTCTTAATTTTTTTTTGAGGCAAAGTCTTGTTCTGTCACCCAGGCTGGAGTGCAATGGTGTGATCANAAAAAAAAAAAAAAAAGAAATTCTCTAGAAAGAAGAAAAATGATAAAGGTTAGAAACTCAGATCTAAATAAAGAAAGAACAAGAATCAAAGAAGGAATCAGTAAAGGTAAAACAAAAACTTTTTTTATTCTTATTTACCTAACAGATAATCATTTGTTCAAAAGACTACTAATAGCATCAATGTATTTAATTATGTATGCTTATGTATAAGCTAAGTAAATGACATAAGAGAGGGAGCAGGGCCCAGGCACAGTGACTCAGGCCTATAATTTCAGCATTTTGGGAGGCTGAGCCAAGGTAGACTACCGGAGCTTAGGAGTTTGAGATCAGCCTGGGCAACACAGAGAAATCCCATCTCTACACAAAATACAAAAGGTAGCCAGGTGGTGCACGACTCTAGTAGTCCCAACTATTTGGAGGTTGAAGGTGGTGGTTGGGGAGGGGCGGGGGGCAGTGCTGAGGAACAGGGATCACTTGAGCCGAGGAGGTCAAGGCTGCCGTGAGGAGTGTTCATGCCACTGCACTCCAGCCTGGGAGACAGAGAGAGATCCCATTTCTAAAAAAAATATTTTCAAAGAGAGGAAGCAGGAATAAAAAGTATACTGTCATTCTAACTCTACATGTAAAGCAGTAAAGTGTCATTTGAGAGTAAACTTGGGTTCACTGTAAATGCATACTGCAATCTCTGGGGGCAATCACTAAAAAGGTGTATATATATATATATATATATATATACACACACACACACACACACACACACACACACATATATATATATGATATGCTAATAAAGATAAATAAAATCATACAAAATACTCAATTAAAACCACAAAAGGCAGAAAAATAGTGAAAGACAACAATCGGAACAAAGAACAGGGCAACAAATAGAAAACAAATATGATAAATATTAACCCAACTATATCGATAATCACTTTGAATGTCAATGATCTAAATGCATCAATCAGAAAACAGGGATGGTCACAGTGGATCAAGACACAAAATCCAACCATACATCATCCACAAGAAGCCCATTTTAAGTATAAATAGATTAAATGAAGATGGATGGAGAAAGATATACCATGCTAACACTAATCAAAAGAAAAACAGAAACAGCTACATTCATTCTAGATTTCAGGTTAAATGTCACTTCTACAGGAAACCCTTCTGTATCCACCTACTCACAGGTGAGTTTGTGCTCACCCCAATCACATTCAATCATATAATCATGGGCATGAGTCACTATCTCTCTACCCTATAACCGAAGTTTTATCAAAGTCAGGATCTTATTTACTTGCTCACTGCCTACTACTTATACCAAGCCCCAGAACTCAGAGCATAATAATCACTCTAACTCCTGTGTAGAAAATAATTTAGAAGTTGGAAAGAATCATAGTAACAATGCAGCTAATCCAGAAAAGAGATCATGGTAACAGGTAATACTAGAGAAGCTGGCGAGCAGGGAACCAATTCAGATCTTGAGGTGGTAAAATCAGCAGGACATAATGATTAAATGATGTGTGGCCAAGAAAGGATGAGAAACAGAGGTGGCACCTGGCAACTCAGACTGCTGGGCGACTGGAGAGACTGTTCACCGAATTGGAAAACATGAATGGAAGTGGGTCTGGGGGAAGATAATGTACTCTGATTTAGATACGTTACACCAGAGACACCTGTGGAACAGCCAAGTGGAAATCAAGAGGAAGGAGGCTGGAGATGGCGTCTTGAGAATGATTAATATACAGATGCCACTTGAAGTCATGGGAGTAGATAAGATCACTCAGCAGGCAAAGGTAATGTGAGAAAAGGAAAACTTCCAGCCTCCAGACACTTGTGGAGGTCAAAAACTTAAATACAACCAAATCATTTTAAACTTTATGTAGCATTCCTTTTGTGTTTACAGTTAGATACAAAGCTGACTTATCTACAGTACATTCCATTTATAGTCTATCAGTTTGAGGCCTGGCACAGAACATTTATAAAATAAACAAAACTTGACTTCCTTCATTATCACTGCTTTGGGTATGCTAGTCTAGAAACCAGCTTATTAAATCACTCTGTTAAGTGCTTACTAAAGTGGAATTAATTTTCTGCCCATCAAAAGTGAACCAAATCATTCTACAACTAAGCATAAAATGTAAACCCAAAAACATGATTTGCATTTTTAAAGAGGTCTATGATTATAAATACAAAATAGAATTTGTATCTGCTAATAGAGTGCTTTTAAAAAGTATATAAATTACAATTTGATGTAATGCCTAACTGCTTATTTGCTCAGCAATTAATTCATTCAATTAGAAATGTATATATTATAAATCAAATTAAATCCTGAAAAGGTAAATTAATACTTGATGAATTACTTGAAATTGACTTATCTGCTATCACTATTGTTTCCTTCTTTTATTTTAAAAATGCTTTTTTATAAAAAAAAAAAAAATGTAGCCTGCTCCTCCTCTTCTATCTGATAATCATGTGTGAGGTTCTATTTACGCCAATAAAGAAAAAAAAACTGGATCCTCCTTCTATTAAATTATACAATCGCCACCTCATAATAAGATATAGACAGGAATATAAAGCCACTGACGACAAAAACATTTTGACCAGTAACAGAAACAGTACTGTACACAGAGGTAAATACATATGTAGATGTGTACACTATATATGATGTACAGACCAATAGTTTGGTGTATATCCTCCATCCATAAAACAGACACAAATGGATTATCTCTGAAAAACAGAAGTAGCAGTGGGAGAAGGAAGGTGGAAAAAGACTTTTATGTTTTACTCTATATGACTTTATATGGTGTTAATTTTTATAATAAAAACAGATCCTTGTATTACTTATGTTAAAAAATGAAATATGTGCCAGGTGCTGTGGCTCATGCCTATAATCCCAGCACTTTTGGAGGCCAAGGTGGGTGGATTGGCTGAGCTCAGGAGTTCGAGACCAGCCCGGGAAATGTGGTGAAATCCCATCTATACTAAAATACCAAAAAAATAATTAG